CCGTCTCACCACCATGGGGAGCAGAGCATTCAGCCACTCTGCCCCCAGCCTCTGGAACTCTCTACCACCTCAACTTCGAAATACGGACTCAATTCTCCATTTTAAAATGCAACTCAAAACCCATCTGTTCAAGATTGCTTATTCTCTTTAAAAATATAAATTTCACTGTCACAGCCTCTGTATTTTTAAAATGTTTTTAAATGTCTTTATAATTATTATTTGTATTTTTTCTGACACTTTTTATGTTTTGTACGGTGACCTTGAGTGTCCAGAAAGGCGCCTTTTTAAATAAAATGTATTATTATTATTATTATTTCATTACCTTTCACTCCTATATGTGCAAGTACCCAAAGAAACACTACTGTTAACCCCATCATTTGAATATGATACAATATTTGTTGAATTTGTAATAAAATATCTAGACAGCTTTCTGAATGATTTCTTTGTAAACTGATCAATGAAGAACTTGAATCTGAACATATAACAGCTCTTAGTGGTCTCACTTCCTCAATCCATTCTACAGTGACAAACAATGCAATCATCTCTGCCATATAAACAGATAACCCTTTATTTAATTTCCTCCCTATTTGCAGTTTAAACCTCTGTTTAGACCTTTCACTTCCTTCGTACCTTTACAGTGGCAGTTCTTGACAAAATGTTCCACTGGGGGCAGCGTGAGCCAGTGTTTTTTCACAGGGTACAGAACAACAAAAACAACAAAAAAGCCACAAACCCAGGGTTACATACTCCTGATTTTACAGATTAAATGTGATTGTATCTTAATATGGCTGGAGTTTAAGACTGGCTCTAACTTTAAAATTGTAAAGGTGAAATTAAACTGGTCCCAGTATTACGCTGGTATTACTCTGCAAAAACATATCCAAAAAGGTAAATATTTCTTAAAATAATTTCATTTGCCACTTATGATTATATAAAGAGTTTATTTTTTCATATTTTAAATGTAAATAATCTTATTCTTTTGGAAAATTGTCTTACCTGCTCAAATCAAGGGAAAATACACAAAATAAAAAAAAATAGACAAGCTGAGATGTAAATTTTTTGCTATGTTTGCAGTACAGGGGCCATAGCAGGGGCCAAGATCTGTTCTACAGGAGCACTGGTCCCTTTTGGCTACTGTCTAGAACTGGTCATGCACTATTATGCCCTGAGAACTAAACTAGAAACAGAACATTAGCTCCCTTACGAAGACAGCTTAACAGAGGATTTACTTCTGATGGTAACTGTTCTAGTTTTACGCTCCTGTTAGGATTATGGATACCATCTTCACTGATCACATCAAGTCTATTCTCGCATCACATCATCATAGTCATAGATTTGCTGCAACAATTACAGCTGAGAGTGTTGCCAATGTTGTCTTTCTTTGGGGTGTTCAGCCTAAGGCTCTGCGGATATGTAATGGAAGAAGTTACTTTGATAACAGGCTAGCAGCCTTCAGGCAATCTCACCCCCCTCTTAACAATTCTCCTTCAAGCCAGTCGGCTGGCTAATCCCGCACAAAAACACCACGGACATTTAACTACAGATGACCAGCACCAGTAAATGATATGACATCCTTAACTATTACTGATAGTGAAACCTTCCCCCTGGGCCTTAAACAACATTGATTTTGAACCTCTCTACTCATCATCCAGACTATGGAGACATGGAGATGATTAGTTACACTTGAGTTTTTTCAGGGCTGTCAGAGTAGTTAAAAACAATAGAAATGCATGCTATAATTTTTAAGGGTGCACAGGGTCTCAGTCTGAATACCTCAAAATTATCAGGACACTCAGGCTATCGCAGAAGTCTGTCAGAGGTTGCCATAAGATCTATCCGAATAGTGCTGGCTAGTTAGGAAGGAGTTGTTGGAAGAGGAGACGGTATGCTTCCTAGTGCCAATTAATTCAAAATAAGGCCCCAACCGCCACCACTAGCTAAACTGTTACAATCTTTCATATGACAGGGCTTATAGACACATCCCACCTCATGGAGCTTAACAAAAATACACTAGTTCTTCACATGTACTCTTTGTGAAACATGTAGATGTCAGAGATGGCAAAAGTACTCACTTTCCGTACTTGAGTACAAGTACAGATACTTGTGTTAAAAAATACTCTGGTAAAAGTGGAAGTACTGATTAAACTTCTTTACTCAAGTAAAAGTAACAAAGTACAGGCTTGTAAATTTACTTAAAGTATAAAAGTAAAAGTAGAAACCACTTTTTTCATGCCGTTGCCTACATTTTAAATGGATTTCTGCCAATAGGACTAGATCTCTGTTGTGTTCATTTTCAATCATCTCGTCGTCCATGCTACTATGCTAACGCCACCGCCACCAAGCTGCAATGATTTGCCGCCAATGAATACCGCCGAATCTGTCGATTCATCTTGTAGTGGTGCGTCAAATGCAACGTAGATTCCCATCCAATTAGATTGAATTTGGTATTGATGACGTGAAAAATAATAACGGTAACTCCATTGAAATGATTCAAAACTAAAGTAACGAGCCAATTTTTAAAAATGTAAGGAGTAGAAAGTACAGATATTTGTGTAAAAATGTAAGGAGTAGAAGTAAAAAGTCGCCATAAAAATAAGTAGTAAAGTAAAGTAAAAATATCAGAAAAATCTACTTGAGTACAGTAATGAAGTATTTGTACTTCGTTACTTCCCATCTCTGGTAGATGTACACACCTTCATTTATTTTGGGTTTTAGGAAGAGCTTCAGCCATTCGCAACAACAATGTAACTTTTGATTTTGTAGTTCTTATCTGGAAGGCTCTAGTCCCAATTTGATCGTCGTTCATGTGCGTCCATCTCGTAACAATGTCTGTAGGGTTAAACACCAACTAGATTGAAAGGATAGGCGCTAGGAACAGGAGGTAGGAGCTGCAATTTACCGTAAATTGAGACTAAAGGTTTGTGCTTGTTATACTTAATCCAAATTTAATATTCACCAAGTAGCAGTTAAGCCAGTGATAAATATCCAGGCATCTCAGCAGAAACAGTTTCTTCAAATCTATATTTATTAATTGAGCAACCTGTAATCAAAACATGAAAAAAAAAAAACTTCTGTAATTTTGTATTTTTATTTAACCATGTACAAAACACATTTAATTTACCAAGGCCTTAAAACATACTGATATGCCTTGTTCTAAAAAAAAATTACATTCATTAAAAAATGTAAACAGTAGTATGTAGCTTGTAGTCTGTTCATTTCTTAGCGTTTTAAACACTTAGTGCTTTTAACTTCGGATTTGCCCATATTTACAGGACTAAAACATACTGGCAAAGTGTATAATTTTTGACAATTGCAAAACAGATTTACTGTTATCTAGTGAGAAACATTATCCTAATTTTTAGTTTAGATTTAAAATCTTGTGCAGAACTACACAATCCCTGAAATCGTAGAGAGGTAGGCAAGCACAACGCTGACTATTAAAGAGCATGTGGACACTGGCATCTTTACACATGGCTAAGCCAGTAAGCATTATGATGTTATGTTATATTTAGTCCAGCCTTTATTCTGCTAACGTTCCTAGAATTCAGATTTGTCACGAAGTCCTTCCAGTATAGTCTATTCCTTAAATTTGACATCAACAGTATTCCATACTAAATAGCAACATTGCCTTATTATTTACACATTCATTTGATCCTTTAAAAGTATAAACAGTAAAGTACATTTATGATACAAGATCATGGTACAATAGAAATCATTCAGAATAAAAGTATTTACACCTTTATATATGGTCAGTGAGTTTTTATTCCAGTCTTTGCACTTTGTTGTTTAATTAATATTCTATGTTTGTATCAAAGGCTACATAGTGTGGCTTCTGGATGCTTTTCTTTTTTCAAGTCCTTCATGAATAAATGTCCCAAGACTGAGATTAACATGTTCTTCAAGTCTGCACAGGGTTGGGTTTCAGGAACATTCTACTGTGCCAGTAGCCTGGATTGTCAAAAGATTTTTCAGTAGCTGCAACTCCAGTTCGCACCACAGCGTGGGGATCAAACCCCGACGGGTGCACCTGTGTGACTCCACCTTCTCCCTCTCCCTCCCTCTGCATGTTCTGGTAAATGACTGCTTCAACTACAGGTGGTGGAGATGCAAGGCAGTCCATATCCTCGTACTCATCTGCCTCATTGTTGTCATTGTAGAACTCTTTATCCTCTGCTTGTTGTTGTACTGGTTTTTTATTTGTGTAATGGTAGTCGTTATTCTCGACATATGCATCCTCCTCTTCCTCCTTTGCCTCCCCTCTTGTCCTCCGTAGAATCGGAGGTGGAGGAGGGTCACGCTCTGGAGGTATTTCCTCTTTGTCATTACATCTGATGTCCATATATTCATACTGGACATCCTTTGAAAGCTGCTGGGCTGAATCAGGCTTGGTCTGACTTGTTGGTTGCCCTCTTCTGACCTCCGTGGAAAGTGCTGTATCGCAGTAATCTGTCGCTTGTGATGATAAAGAATAGGTTCGTCTCTTTTTTGACCTCAGCAGGTGGGGGTTTTGCCTCAGAGAAACGTTTGTTTGCTTGTTCATGTACTCATATTCGTCATCGTCTGAGTGATCCAGGAGACCTAATGAGCAAGACTTTCCCATTCTCCCTGCAGTGGCTCGAGCCGAGTACATTAGGGGATCTGAAACACAACAAAGAATAATAAGGTGTTAATTTAATTAGAAATCTATATTTAATCATCTCTACCATCTGTCATTCTATAAAACCTGTTCAATTTTAAAGCAAACTTTAAAAAAACTATACATCATCACATGAACTACATACCAAATAAAAATCTTCAAAATTAATAAAGGCAAAGTTTATGGCATTAATGCAGTCAGAGCTTTGTGACGAACAGTGTTTCTAAAGGTTTATTAGCCGCTACATGTGTCCACACAAAAAGGTAAACAGAAAACAATGTTAAAGCTTAGGAAAATATGTTAAAATTTAAATAATTTCAAATCAGGAATCTTTAAAAACTGTAGCAAAACAATATAGATTAGCAACATTTATTTAGTAAACTCATTTTCATACCAAAAACGACCTTTACCAGAAATATTGTTGGACAGCATTTAATGTTGCTTACTGCAATCTTAAATGTGATACAATAAAAAATAGAGCCCAAAACAGAAAGTAGTTAGGTTTTTGCAGGAGTTTGCAGCCTTCCTTTGGTGACAGGAAGGACATTTGGCATAAAAACTTTGCCACTACAACTTTACCAAGTCTGTGACTGTGACCCCCTGAACATGGGAGCAACTGAAAGTAAACAAACGAACAGTAGGATGGTCAATCTCACTAAGACAGGGACGGAGGTAAGTCAAAGACCAAATCAAATGGCAGTGAACTAAGAAGACGGTTGCTTTTATCGTATTGTTGTAGGATTCCCTGCATTGATGCAAAGATAGTGTGCCAGTGGCGCTCATTAGCAAGCTAACCTCTAACAGGGCTCCAGTCCCTGTTAAAGAAGCCTCTCCCATATCTCAATCCCATTTTCATTAATGCCAAATGTCTTTAAAGTATGCCATCACCTCTTTCTGGGCTTCCTCCAGGAAGCACATATCCATTCTGATCTTCTTCCTCCATTTCAGGGGAGGGAGTCTCTGGCGGTCCACCGGACATGCTGTCCCTCTGTGACACATAAGCACTGTCCTCTCTGTGGCGTCCCCTTTTCAGACTTCCTGTCAGAGAAAAGTCCTCGCTCATCTCCAGCTCCCCGCCGCACCCCTCTGAACTCTCAGACATGGTGCGTGCCGAATTAAGTCGGGAACGGGACTGCAACAGAAGATGAATAAATTAAATAATTGCAGAAGTCTGGATAAAAATATTCAAGATAAAAAGGAGATTTTCCATGTTTGTACCTTTCCTCCAATGTCAATGCCTGGGGTCATTGGTAGGTACCCAGACCCAGTCGCTGGATCTAGCACCACCTTTACCATAAAATAAATGAGTGTTATGCGGATACAGGTAACAAGGAAATGGATTTTAAAGGCCTACGATAACAGAAATATCAACAGAAAACCATCCCTTACCCTGAAAGGGTCTGTCCTGGAGGTGCGGCTCAGACTCCTGGACATCTGGTGTGGTGCTGGAGTTATGCTTTCAGCCAGATCCTCTAGATCAATTTCTAAATCTTCCAGATCATCAAGGTCTGCACTTCGCTGGGCAACTTCATCAAGAGCTGAATCATGTTGGCTGCAGTCCTCCTGCCAAACCATGGTAATTCAAAAGTGAGAATGCTGCATGAACACCAACAGCAAAAAAAAAAAAATGTCTGAAGAAAGTCCTTTCTTACTTTGATCACCAGGTAACGAGGCGGATCTCTTGCCATTCTGGTAAATTCTCCAGCCAGTTCCTTAAATGTTGGACGAACGTTCTCATCAATCATCCAACCTGGATAATTGAGAAATAAGGTACTAAATTAATATTTAGGGGGCCTAAGTCCAGTCCACTGCCAACATTTATATTTTAAGATACTTACACTTAACCATCACCATGTAGACGTCAATGGTGCATATCTGAGGCTGAGAGAGACGTTCTCCCTTTTCTAGCAGATCAGGAACCTCTTGTGGATACATTGCGGAATACGGCTCTGTCCCATAAGACATCATCTCCCACACAGTCACACCTAAGTTAAAGAAAAGAAAATCAGTCTGAGGTAAGATCTATATCCTTTCCGTTTTTACATACTGTCAGTACTTAAACATACCATAACTCCAAACATCACTCTGATGAGTGTATCTGCGAAACAAGATGCTCTCCAAGGCCATCCACTTGATTATTGGTGTCTGTAAACAACATCAGGAAATGTAGTTGTTGCAAATCACATTCAACAAAGAAATATGAGGGAAAAAAGTAGACGTTCAAGGCTTTAAACTTTTTTTTTTAACTCTTTCCTCAAATTTTTCTGTTACTGAGTCCCTCTGAAGTTATTCATTTTCACCTTCTTTTCCTTTTGCTTTGCTACAGCAACAAACTTTGACGTGTTTTCTTGAGATTCTATGTGACACTTTTACAAACTTATACAATTAGGTCATTGGTAGGACAGTGAGGGACCTGACTGCAAGCCGAGAAGGAAATTTACCTTTCTAATTTAGGTGTGTTTGACCAGGGGAACATTTAAAAGCTGCAAGACACAACCTTTAAAGGATTTGAATTTAATGCCCCTGACCTAAATCATTTTAGTGCATATCTGGCTACTGCTCAGCAGAAGGACAGCATCTGAAATTGTAAAATTTTCTGCCTGGTATTCTGCCATTATTGCATTTAGGTCTTTCCATCTTACCATCAACTTAAGCCATTTTCCCCATTTCCCTAAGAGAAGCACCCCCACAATGTGATGCAATCACCAACATGTTTCTCCATGGTTTTTTTAATCAAAGAACCTTCTTTGATACCTTTGTTTTCTCCTATATGGCTGATAGGAAGTTGAAAAAGGGGATTTGTTGTGACTTTATTTCAGCCGTGTGCTTTTTGCTTGCAGATCTTTTATAAGGTCCTTGGTCACGCTGCTCTTTAGGTTTTAGATGTTTCCCAGCTTTTGCACGCCTGATTTTAACTGATGATGGATTACAAGACTTTGCTAATCTGCTATCATCTGAATCAGGGGTGTTAAAGCTAGTGTTGCACCGATACCGATACCAGTATCGGACGGGGCCCCGATACTGCCCTAAAATGGTGGTATCGGTATCGGCGAGTACCAACAAATAGGGCACCGATACCATTTTGAGAGCCATAAGTTTATTCAACTATTGTCTCCTGGTAGTCAATAATATCTTTTTATTTGTATTATCCAGTAGAACCTTTTATCAAAACGTTCTACTGGATTCACTTTGTATTAGATTTTTTTTCCTGTTTC